CAATTTTTTTAATTTACGAACAATTAGGTACCTCTTAACCTTTAATATGGTCCGATGTATTTTTTATAACTATTTTATTTTTTTCAACATGCCACTGTTCGTCAGGTACTATATTAGATGTGCCTTTACTATATAATCTAGTGCCAACCTAATCTAACTTGATGATTAATTACTAGTTGGGTTCAAGGATATTCCAAACATGATTTTACCCACTTAGGTAGTAGGTGTTCCATAGAAAATTAAATACGTACCTACTGGAAAATGGAAAATTGATAACCATGTAAACATGTAAATAACTTTAAAAAAATGTATAAACGTTAATAGGTACAACACGGTAGTTTAGGTAAGCAAATAACCATATTAAATCCATGTAAATGAACGCGAAGCCTAATGACCCACATGTTGAAACCTTTATATCTAGGTACTCAATAAAAAAAAAACAGTTTGCTGTAGAACGGTGGGAATAAGTAAAGTTAGTGATTTAAATAGACAACAACTTAAAATGATATCAAATAGGCATAATGGAAAATTTCGTTGATACAGACTTATAGTAAATACGACTTATTAAGGTAAATAATATTATAATAATGTAATAGGCAATAAAGAAAATACTTGCCCTGTTTTGGGTGTTAAACCTCTCTAATTAATATATTATTTAGGTATATACAAAAACTGTAAAAAAAACTTAGTCAAATGTATTCTCAGACCCTCCCCCCCTTCACTTCAAAATCGAGGCTATGGCACTGGTCTCAATTCCCTACGAATATTATTTTTTGCAAAAATATAACAAATATCGTTATTCTTCGTTTTACTATTCAATTTTGCAGAATTTTAAACGTCTATAAAACAAACAATTATCTGCATTTGTATTTTTTAAATTCTTATGTTTTTGCAAAAACAAGTTACCATGAAAAATTTACTAAACGTTTAAGCCTTAAAATGTTTTCAATATGTTTCAACTGCCTCAGGTTGGTAATGAAAATGTATTGAGGAACCTTGTACTAAATTATCAAAAATTGTTATTCAAACAAAATTTTAATAAAAACAAAAACTGAAAAAAAGGGGGAGAAGTGGGTACCGCTCTGCTGTATAATAGTTGTCGCGCATGTCATTTTACAACATGTGTTATATTAAAGTTCAATAATAACTTATTGTATACCGAAAAAGATTCTGAGCTTAGACGTTGTTAAATTTAATAGTTTAAAAAAATTAATAAAAATCAAAAATATATCATTGGTATAAATACCGTAATTTTCCAGTGAACTAACGTATTGGGAATTTTTTAATAAAATTTCTATTGTGAAAAACGTTTATATATTTCTGTAAATATTTGGAAAATTGTACTATTATAATTTAAAAATATTTTGTAAAAATGTCAAGTGTTAATGGTTTTTAGTTTTTGAACTACGCCAATTATTGGCAGTTCAAAAACTACTGGGTATTTTCAAAAGTACCAACTAGATTAAACTTTTCTACAAGAAAAGATACTGCTGTCGGAAATTCAGAAATTTGCGGAAATGCGGAGCATTTTTAAAACCCCAGATGTCGATGACACACAGAAAAAGAAACATACATTATTGTAATTACAATACATTCATTGCTGCGCTCTGCAGAATTTATGAAACTAAAACATTTAAAATATCTCTAAATAGCACTAAAAGAGGCAACAATTTAGAAATTGTATGATGTCAAGTAAATAAGTACATCAATATTTGTTGAATATTTCAACTTTAAAGTCTTTAAGGTTGTTTTTGAATTATAAAAAAAAAATCTGATTTTGTCAAAAGTTTTGAATAAAAATTCCCATTTTTCCCGTATTTTGTTAAGTACTGAGCATTTTCAATTTTGACCTTTCAAAAGTACCAATTAGATCCAATTTACTATCAGAAAGCACCCCAAAGTTAAAGACCAACAATGAACAAAGTATCAAGGCATTTTTCTACTATAAATCGTGTAGTTACCTTAACCTAAACAAAAAAGCACACATTATTGTAAAATATGAGCATTCATCACTACATTCATCTCCACTCAGAATCTATACAAATATTACTAAAAACTTAAAATTATCAATTTATTTTCCAAATAATATAACTATTATTATTGTAAAAATTATCCATACTAATACTAATAATAATAATATTATAAAGAAGAAAGATTTGATTGTTTGTGTGCATTGAATACGCTCCGGAACTACTGAACCGATTTAAATTAAATTGGGTACATAGATAGTTAAGACACCGAGAAAGGACATAGGCTACTTTTAAATACCAAAAACGAGCTATAAGGGGTTGAAATATGGGATGGTATTAATATATTTACGTATAATATATATTTATTTATTGTACAATAATAATAATAATACGCACCGAGCGTACAGCAACACTATGATTACCGAATATTAGTATCAATATAACTTTTAAACGATAAAATACACATACAGTTGACATAAAAAAAAACAGAGCATTGCAATAATATTAGAGGTTTTTGTAAGTTTTGTTGGAATATTTGTGTTTTTAAAAATACCAGTAATTAGACACACAAACTTAAGTCACGGAACTCGCAATGCTACAAGTCAAAGATATACAATATCAAGTACCTATAACACATCATTTGACTTACAAAAAGGTCAGGTTGCAGGTTTCTGGAAACCCGTGGGCTGCACTTTTATTTTAATCAATAATTCACTTTCTTATTTTTTTAGTGGAAATTAGTATTTTTTTTTTTTTTTTTTGGTTGCCAACGGTTAATCGGGCAGAACAAGTTTAAGCATGCATCAAATCGAATCTTCACATATTGTCTACCAAGGAGGCTAAGACGCTGAGTTGCACTTATAGCCGCTCATCAGAGTGTCCACAATCAAAATAAAAAATAAAATAAAACATTTTATTCATATAATCATATTGATTGTAATAAAGTATTCACCTAGCGGGGTTTGCAATCCACCACAGGTGGATTGCCTACCTTATAATACAATGTGAGCATCATCAAGTTTCTTATATACAGATGGCATTTTTAATGGGCAACGACCGTGCACGGGATCAACTAGTATTATAAAAAATACATTATATATATATATTTTTTAAATGTTTTATTAACCCATTAGCGCCCAAATTATTTTTTTTTTAATTTTAATTAAATTTTTGTTGACAACTTCTATAAATACACTCGTATTAAAATAAAAAATTTTTTTTTTTTTTTTAAATCATAGTTTTCGAGATATTTGCCGTTGCCATATGGCAAGACTGGGCATTTGTCCTACTTATTTCGTAACTTTTTTTCTATTATTTTTTTTCCGTCTTTAAAATGTAACTTATTTGAAATTGTAAATAAACATCAAACACAATAAAATATAAGCATTATCTGTATATTTTATAATTTTTTTTTTATTAGTAAGCAAATAAAGATTGAGTAAATATATAAAATAAATCATTTCCTTATACGTCGTACAGCTTGTACAAAAAAAACTTAAAATATTTTATAAATATACATCATTGGGTATGAAAAGGTTTAAAACAATTAATGCATAACCCAACCGAACATTTTGAACACATTGTTCGTACAATTGAGTTGCAATTTTTTCCGGCGCATCTTCTTTTTTTTTTTTCTTCTGTATTTTGTACAAAGTGATAAGTTTTATCGAACCGTAATGTATCTGATATACGAGAGTCTGACGAACACAATGATTTCGATATGCGTCCTGATCCTGTGGGAGTATTTTTGTATTTTTCTAAATAAACATTTACTACTTCTCTTCTAAATTCAAGTTGAGATATTTTTGGTCTCCCTGTTTTATTATATAAAATCCAACTGTTTTGCATTGCCACATCAAACATCCATGTTACAAGAGGCCAATACCATTTTTTTCCACGAACTCCAATCCGATAACATCCAAGATTTTGATCCATTTGGTCGGTGCCTCCCATATACGTGTTGTACTTAGCAATTAGGTTTGGTCTTTGAACCAAAATATTTGTTTTTTTTTGTTGAGAATATCTTTTAACGTGACTTATTTCTTTAGTACCACATGAAGTGGATATCATTGTTACCACAGCGTTGTCCATCCATCGAACATACAAGAGACCATCATTTTTATCCAGTGGCGTACGCAGGATTTTAGTTCGGTAAGGGTTTTCAATATATGTTGATCAGTGACTCGTGGGGGGCTTCGCCCCCCCCACACCCCCCACTATATAGCTAAACTGATAAATATAACCAACATTATATAACACATAATAATTCTTTCAAAATAAATTCCTATTTATGTATTTAATCATCTAAATTCTTAAAATGATATAAAACATTAGATAATAATTATTAATTAGTATTTATAAAATATTAAAATATTATATACTATAAACAAAATAATAAAATAAGTGAACAATATATTCATGAATTATATTTATTTATAATAAATTATAGATTCAGTCTTAAATTTAATCTACGATTAGAATATTTAACCAAGTGATTTAGAACCTCTTCAGGTAATACACTTATATCTGTATGGATGTTTAGTAACGCTAACCCATTTAATCGCGACTCACTTATTGTATTACGGAGATATGTTTTTAAGCGACGTAATGTAGAGAAAGATCTTTCTGCAGATGATGTAGTAATGGGCAATGTTACTAATATTTTTAACAATAAATAAATAGTTGGAAATAATATTTTATCACATGTAATAAGAGCATCTATAGGACTTTTTGGATTCATTTCATTTTGTTCCACAAATGTATACTGTTCAGACGCTCAGTATTATAAATAATTACTCTCATTTGTGGACTGTAAAGAACGTAACCTTTTTTAATATTTAATAAATTTGTTTACTTTTACATAATATTCGGCATTCACACGGCGATTGTCGGTTCCGCTTACAACGACGCTCATCCTAACCTTACAATATACAGTAGTCGCCGCTTATTGGACTCACTTTGGGACCCGACAATTTGAGTCAATTAACCGAATGAGTCAATAAGGCGAATGACTCAAAAACCTAACCTTACCTAACCGTGCGAATCGGGACCAACCGTTTTGAGTCTAATATGCGAATGAGTCAATTAACCGTGAGTCCAATAAGCGGCGACCACTGTATAATGTTATAAAAAAAAAAAAAAATATAAAACCAAAACATGATGATTATATATACAGAGACAGTGTTGCCAACACATTTAGAAAATATACACAAATAATAAATTGCGTCGCCGACAACGAACATGCCTCCCGCCTTGAAACCTTGTTTCAAAAAAAATAAAAATAAAACAATACAAATAATATAATAATTACGATACAAATAAGAATGGATAAATCAGTAGGTAGTTATTTTTCACTTCATCTATTTTATTCTTCGGAATTTTCCTCGAAAGGCAATGGACATAACTTGCGTACAGCTCGGGAAACTGTACCGCCCGCCGTTTGGACTTCTGCAACACGAACCACATCATCCTTTTCTCTCGTTACTTTCGAAACACGTCCCATACGCCATCGTAAAGGAGGGAGATTTTCGTCTTTCAACAACACTACAGACCCAACCTTCAATTTTGGACCGTTTGTTCTTGCCCACTTGCTTCTTTCTTGTAGTTGTGATAAGTATTCACTACTCCATCGTTTCCATAGGTGTTGAGAGTATTGGGATACTCGGCGCCATCTTTTTAGACGGTTGACTGGTACAGATGTCTCGTCGATTTCTGGTATAGCGTTTAGAGAATCTCCTATGAGAAAGTGGCTAGGAGCTAAAGGATTCAAATCATTTGGATCTGACGAAATAGGAGTTAAGGGACGACTATTTAAACAGGCTTCGGCACGTGTAAGTATCGTTAATAACTCTTCATACGTAAGGTGAGCATCACCCAGTACGCGACGCAACAAATACTTCATCGATTTTATTCCGGCCTCCCATAAACCCCCAAAATGGGGCGAACGCGGTGGTATAAATCTCCACTCGACACCTAGGGTTGATAATATTTCCGTAGTTTTAATTTGATGATCATCTCCTTGTAATAGTTCGTATAATTCTTTTAGTTGACGATTTGCGCCTACAAAATTTGTTGCATTATCAGAATACAAAACTAGACTTCTACCTCGTCGATCAAAAAAACGATTAAGCGCGCGTAGAAAAGCGTCAGTACTTAAATCGCTCATTAGTTCCAAATGTACAGCACGCGTGGAGAAACAAATGAATAAACAAACATAAGCCTTTATTATTGGAGAGTTTTTTCGTAGACCCGATTTTAATAAAAAAGGACCGGCATAGTCGATACCACATTTGAGAAAAGCGCGATTTGGTTCAACTCTGTCTTTCGGTAGATCACCCATTATAGGCTGTACGATGGCTGGGCGTTGTTTAAAACAAATGACGCATTTACGCACCACATTTCGTGTGACATTTCGTCCATTTATAGGCCAATACCTTTCACGTATTGACGCTAAAACCGCTTGAGGACCACCATGCATCAAATCTTCATGCTCTTCACGTATTAAATTTTGAGTAAAGATACTTTTAGCTGGTAACACTGCAGGATGGCGCCTAAAAGTGCTTATGGATGCTGCATATTTCAATCTCCCACCTACGTGAATTATACCCTCTTCGTCAAGATATGGCATTAATCTATAAAGAGGACTCTTTTTTGCTACTTGATTATCGGTTTGTAACTGCTGTACTTCTCGAAAAAAGTAATGAGTTTGCACTATTTTTACCATTATTGTTTTTGCTTGCTTTATTTCGTAAGGTAGTAAGCAACCATTTTTTTTTTCTTATCTTGCTTATGACTTAAACAGTTTGACTTAAAACGCATACAATATGCAACAATTCGCGACATCTTTTTTATGGAGGAATATCTGTGAACAATCAAATCATTTTCCGATGTAGTTACACCACTGACGCTTAAACCTTTTTGTTCCGGCATATCCATCAACTCAATTGATATTTCTTCCTGTTGGATAATCGGCCAATGTTTTTCATTCTGGACTAACCACTCGGGACCGTGCCACCAAAGAGTATACCGAGATAGTTCGGTGGGACAGCAACCACGTGATATAATGTCCGCAGGATTTTCGCTGCCTTTCACATGAAACCACTCGGTTAACGAGGTCTTTTCTTGAATCTCGCCAACCCGATGTGATACAAAGGTTTTCCACTTTTTTGAAGTAGACTTTATCCAACATAAAGTGACTTTGGTATCTGTCCAATAGTGTTGTTTTGATAATTTAAGTTGCATCTTTGATATCATTTTATATGCTAAGCGCGTCAATAATTGCGCGGCGCATAACTCCAAGCGTGGTAAAGATAATGTCTTCATTGGCGCAACCTTAGATTTAGCGCATATAAGATTTGAACAATGATTCCCGGCATTGTCAGAGCACCTCAAGTATAAGCAACAACCATATGCCTTTTCACTAGCATCGGCGAAGCCATGGATTTGCATATCACATATTTCCTCTTTCATCGTAATTTGACGAGGTACTCTTATATCGTTAAGACTTAATAAATTTGTCTTATACTCGTTCCATTCGCATTTCATATCATCGGAAACATGTTCACACCACTTTACCTGGGCTTGCCATAAAACTTGCAGCATTAATTTCGCGCGAATTACGACGGGTCCTACTAGTCCGAGTGGATCAAAAATCCTTGCAATATCCGATAATATATCGCGTTTAGTCACCGACGCAGTTCGCTTATCTTTGTCTAAATTAATTTTAAAATGAAAACTATCTGTTTTCGCATTCCAGTACATACCTAAAATTTTAGTAAAGGAGTCATTTATCTCATGCACATTTTTTTGTTCTTTTTTGGTTTGAGTAATAACGTTGAGAACACTAACGTCGTTCGAAGACCATTTTCCCAGTTCCATTTTCGCGGTAGCCATTACCTCTATTAGACGGTCACGTAATTTGATTACTTCTTCTTTGGTCGGGGCCCCGCTAAGAAAATCGTCCATGTAGAAATCGCGTGAAATAGCCATGGAAATTTCCGTATTATGTTTGTATTCATCATCAGCCAGTTTTTGTAGACATGCAGTCTCCAAATATGACGCAGGTACCGTACCGTACGTAATTGTATTTAATCTAAATATTTTAATCGGAGATTTACTATTTTCGCGCCATAAAATACGTTGGAAATCTTGATGCTCTTTTGAAACATTAATTTGACGATACATTTTTCGTATATCGGCAGAAATTACAAAATTATGTACTCGAAATCTAGCTAAAATATATATAAGATCGTCCTGTATAACTGGTCCCTTTAAAAGGACGTCATTTAGACTTACTCCGGTTTCAGTCTTTGTGGAAGCGTCGAATACGACCCGTAATTTCGTAGTACTACTATTTAAATTTAGAACACAATGGTGTGCGAGGTAACACATTTTTTCAGGTATATCGATTTCCTCATTACTCACATATGTCATATGACCCAAACTTTCATATTCACGCATAAATTTGACGTATTCACATTTTAACGCTGGATTCTTGTCCAGTCTCCGTTCAACCGATAAGAGTCTACGCTTAGCTATTTCGTACGACTTCCCTAATTTCGAACAATTTTTTTTAATTGGTAATTGTACTACAAAACGACCTCCTTCTTCCCGTCGTACAGTATTATTGAAATGCTCGGTGCACGCCTTTTCTTCGATGGTATATGGTGTCGGTCCTATGTATTCTTCAGACTGCCAGAATTGTTTAATTAACTTTTCTATATCGCTATCTTCGTCATTTTCTGTGTTTGTGGATATATGTGTAACAGATTTTTTATTGCGCAACGTACCTTGTGCCAGTTGTACCGACCCTGATGCAACAAATCCGAACTTTGTTTCTTGATAACTCGGTCCGTTTGACGACAAATATTGTTGTTTACCTAAGATCTCGAAAAAATGAACAGCGCCTATTAATATATCGATTTTTTTTGGTACATTAAACGACGGATCGGCTAGTATCATATTTTCTGGTCGAGGGCCGTTTTCGGAAATAAAGTTCGTCGGTATATTTCCCGTTATCTTCTTTACCATTAATGCTTGTATGTCTAATTCGTACTCTTTCACGCAAGATTTTATTTTTAACCACGCCGTAGATGTGATATTTTGTGTTGTGCCTCCAATTCCGCTTACTACATGATCCGTTTTCTTTTGCCGTAGACCTAAACTATTTACTAATTCAGTCGATATAAAATTATTCATTGAACCAGAATCTAATAACACGCGTGCGAACGAGGACTTACCGCACGGATTGATCACGCGTACGACGGCTGTGGCTAACAATACGCGCTCGTAATTATTATTTGCGTGCGCGGTCGTTGAACTCGTCGCGTCTATGACCGGTTCATGTCTATTCTTAGCCGTTTCGGCGTCCTTTCCACTAACCTCCGAATCTGAGACCTTTTTTTGCCGTAGATGTAATAATGTGTTATGCGGTTTGGAGCATTTAAAACAAAATCTCGCAAAACATTTTCCCTCATGTTTACGTAGACATATTTTACACAATTTTAGACTCGCAATTTTCTCAATACGTTCGCTTATCGGCAGTGTGATGAATGTTGGACACTTATAAATTGTGTGTTCCAAATTACATACAAAGCACTTTAATGCTGTTGTTGACACCAAATTTGCCGAATATTTTTGACCGCCTTTCGTGATATTATTTGTTCTCGATTGTTCTTTTCCTCTACCTGCCGTCGCCGATGCCACCTTATTTATATCTCGTGAAGATTCGACTGATTCTAATATCCGAAATCGTTCCTCAATAAACTGTGTTAATTCCCGAATCGATGGTATTCTCTCTTTAGCCTCATGTATTTCCCAGTCTTTTCGCGTTTCGTCGTCCAACTTCGCACACACGATATGTGATAGTAATGGGCCCCAATCATACGGTCTTTCTCCTAATGCCTCGAGTGCCCGTATATTGCTATTTAGAGCATCGGACAGTTTACGTAAATTTACCGACGATTTGTCATTA